CTTCTTTTGGAGAGTAAATGGATTCAAGCTTCCGACTAACCGTAATTCATTGTCCGGTATGTTTTAATAAAACAAATATTAATAAAACAAATATTTATTTTTACGGCACAATCAAACAATATCAATAATAAATAAATCAGGGGAGGTTTGAAGAGGTTTGAAGTGCCGAAGGCCACTGCTTATCTTTAGGATTTGAGAGTGACCTGTGCTTGAAACCCCCTCAACCATCCACTACGTCAATATACTTATTATACAAATATAGAAAAATATACTAATCTAAAATTGCTTATTGGTCTAGTTTGGTGACACAGGAGAGCCCAGTTGAGTTTTAGTTTAGGTTTGGACTCCTCATTTCTACCTCGTACTGTATGAGGTATGAAGAATGCAAGGAACCAAGTGGTCTAACGTGATTAACCTCTTATTACGATTACCAGATTCTAATCTAGATAAGGAAAGGTCTGGATCTCCATACTATACTGGTTTACCACCGATCTCCTGGGCCGAAATACAAAAATTCGAGTCATGACCGAGAAACCTTGAAAAAGGATGAATGTGGCCGATAACATGCCCCTATTGCATTTATTATAAAAATGCAATAGTGACCAAATGTTTTAAGCATCATCTATAAGAGAGGTGATAACCGTCGAGAAATCGCTTTTAACACGAAAAGCTAACAAGATTGCCTTTTAGAACGGTTGGCATCCGACTATAAGCAATAATCCTTGTAAAATCCACAAGGGTTCGAGGGAATGAGTTTGACTCTATCAGCGACCGACGCTGAAACTTGGTGGAGGATAATTGACGGCACAGCCACAAAGATAAACACTTCTGGTGAGGCCCTATTTTCAATTTTACTTTCAAAATTGTCCGGCTCAAACTTTCTGCCAGATTTTACCCTTATGTGTATCGTCTTCAGGACACTTTTTTAGTTGCGATCCAAAACTCAACTTGTAGATATTACAGTCAGAATTACAGTGGTTAGATTTAAAGATTTAATAAGCATTATCGCCAGTATTTATTCCGTTAAACATGTTTACCGATTTTTGCTCCACAATCGCAATGTACAGATATAATATAACCGAAAAATCGATTGTAACATTTTAAAAAAACTTGTAACATTTTATAAATAACAGCTTTTAGATCAGGAAGTTAGTATAAATGCTGGGGGACTAACTATTACCATTTTATAAATAACAGCTTTAAAAAACTTGTAACATTTTATAAATAACAGCTTTTAGATCAGGAAGTTACTATAAATGCCGGGGGACTAACTATTACCATTTTATAAATAACAGCTTTTAGATCAGGAAGTTACTATAAATTCCGGGGGACTAACTATTACCATTTTATAAATAACAGCTTTTAGATCAGGAAGTTACTATAAATGCCGGGGGACTAACTATAAACAGTCTGGGTGGATACCTGGCGGGGCTTTATTACGCTGAGGGAACGAGGCAGAACTATTTGTTCCACGTTACTGTCCACACTGTGTCCTGTGAGTGTGTTACGATTTCAGTTTATTTATATATTATATTGTCAATAAACCGGTTTCAAAGCCCTTAAGGGTGGCCCTCGGGTCTTTGAAACAAAAAAAACAAGTGTTATCATCCATCAAACAAAGAACTTACTTGATTATGATGCCCTGTTAATTTTCGAGGATGAAATTATAAATTCTTGATGATTCTTCGTTGGACTTTTTCTTCGTATCGCAGAAAATTGGGCGACATGGTGACATTTTATTTTCAGCTGGGACAAAGTTTGTTTATTATGTTCCGTTTGGAGTAAATATTGTGATTGTTGTTGAGGATGTTCAAAGTTCCTCAAGGGTTGCCTGGTATGAGGTGTGTTTTATCTTTCAGATGTAAAATAAAATAATCATTTTACATCTTATTCCGAATGTTGCCGAAATCAAATTATATTGACATTCACACGATTGTTCTGAATAGTAAAATTAAGTTTATCCACATGACCCTCATTTCAGGGAGGTGACAAGAGAGAACTGAACAGAGCTGGAGTGTCGATCAGTGAAAATGGTAGAAAACTAACAATCAGCGACATGCAGCAACAATTCTACGGTAATTTCAGTGATCCTAACTCAGGATCTGATACCTCACAAGTCCCAAAGATAATTTTAAACTTTCATCACTTTCTCGTTCTAAACTACTGCTAGTAGTTCTTTTGCACGTTTTATTATCTGAAGCATAGACGGTGATATTTTACAACAGTGCTGTACCAACTTCATTGTAACAAAATATGTTGAATCATTGTAACGAAACATTCTGTCAGGATCATACAATGTCGTAGTTACATCTGGTCAGAACTACGCTCACTCCATCTACGAATTGAGAAAACTTTCGAGCCAAGGTTAGTATTGAAACGTGGCGGGTGGCCCCCCTTACGGGCGGTTCTGTGTCATATATCCTAATGCTGGGTAGATCCCCGTACTGTAGTGCGACACGTAGCCTAGTGCGACACGTAGCCTAGTGCGACACGTAGCCTAGTGCGACACGTAGCCTAGTGTGACACGTACCCTAGTGCGACACGTAGCCTAGTGCGACACGTAGCCTAGTGCGACACGTAGCCTAGTGCGACACGTAGCCTAGTGCGACACGTAGCCTAGTGCGACACGTAGCCTAGTGCGACACGTAGCCTAGTGCGACACGTAGCCTAGTGCGACACGTAGCCTAGTGCGACACGTAGCCTAGTGCGACACGTAGCCTAGTGCGACACGTAGCCTAGTGCGACACGTAGCCTAGTGCGACACGTAGCCTAGTGCGACACGTAGCCTAGTGCGACACGTAGCCTAGTGCGACACGTAGCCTAGTGCGACACGTAGCCTAGTGCGACACGTAGCCTAGTGCGACACGTAGCCTAGTGCGACACGTAGCCTAGTGCGACACGTAGCCTAGTGCGACACGTAGCCTAGTGCGACACGTAGCCTAGTGCGACACGTAGCCTAGTGCGACACGTAGCCTAGTGCGACACGTAGCCTAGTGCGACACGTAGCCTAGTGCGACACGTAGCCTAGTGCGACACGTAGCCTAGTGCGACACGTAGCCTAGTGCGACACGTAGCCTAGTGCGACACGTAGCCTAGTGCGACACGTAGCCTAGTGCGACACGTAGCCTAGTGCGACACGTAGCCTAGTGCGACACGTAGCCTAGTGCGACACGTAGCCTAGTGCGACACGTAGCCTAGTGCGACACGTAGCCTAGTGCGACACGTAGCCTAGTGCGACACGTAGCCTAGTGCGACACGTAGCCTAGTGCGACACGTAGCCTAGTGCGACACGTAGCCTAGTGCGACACGTAGCCTAGTGCGACACGTAGCCTAGTGCGACACGTAGCCTAGTGCGACACGTAGCCTAGTGCGACACGTAGCCTAGTGCGACACGTAGCCTAGTGCGACACGTAGCCTAGTGCGACACGTAGCCTAGTGCGACACGTAGCCTAGTGCGACACGTAGCCTAGTGCGACACGTAGCCTAGTGCGACACGTAGCCTAGTGCGACACGTAGCCTAGTGCGACACGTAGCCTAGTGCGACACGTAGCCTAGTGCGACACGTAGCCTAGTGCGACACGTAGCCTAGTGCGACACGTAGCCTAGTGCGACACGTAGCCTAGTGCGACACGTAGCCTAGTGCGACACGTAGCCTAGTGCGACACGTAGCCTAGTGCGACACGTAGCCTAGTGCGACACGTAGCCTAGTGCGACACGTAGCCTAGTGCGACACGTAGCCTAGTGCGACACGTAGCCTAGTGCGACACGTAGCCTAGTGCGACACGTAGCCTAGTGCGACACGTAGCCTAGTGCGACACGTAGCCTAGTGCGACACGTAGCCTAGTGCGACACGTAGCCTAGTGCGACACGTAGCCTAGTGCGACACGTAGCCTAGTGCGACACGTAGCCTAGTGCGACACGTAGCCTAGTGCGACACGTAGCCTAGTGCGACACGTAGCATAGTGCGACACGTAGCCTAGTGCGACACGTAGCCTAGTGCGACACGTAGCCTAGTGCGACACGTAGCCTAGTGCGACACGTAGCCTAGTGCGACACGTAGCCTAGTGCGACACGTAGCCTAGTGCGACACGTAGCCTAGTGCGACACGTACCCTAGTGCGACACGTAGCCTAGTGCGACACGTACCCTAGTGCGACACGTAGCCTAGTGCGACACGTAGCCTAGTGCGACACGTAGCCTAGTGCGACACGTAGCCTAGTGCGACACGTAGCCTAGTGCGACACGTAGCCTAGTGCAACACGTAGCCTAGTGCGACACGTACCCTAGTGCGACACGTAGCCTAGTGCGACAAGTACCTTAGTGCGACACGTAGCCTAGTGCGACACGTAGCCTAGTGCGACACGTACCTAGTGCGACACGTAGCCTAGTGCGACACGTACCTTAGTGCGACACGTACCTAGTGCGACACGTAGCCTAGTGCGACACGTAGCCTAGTGCGACACGTAGCCTAGTGCGACACGTACCCTAGTGCGACACGTAGCCTAGTGTGACACGTAGCCTAGTGTGACACGTAGCCTACTGTGACACGTAGCCTAGTGCGACACGTAGCCTAGTGCGACACGTACCCTAGTGCGACACGTAGCCTAATGCGAAAACCTCCAAGAGCGACACTGTTGCACTACAATACGCTACCTGGACTTTAGTGTGACACGAACTCAAGTGGTCCTTAATAGTCCATAATACCGATAACTACAGATAAACCAACAGAACTGGATGACATGATCTGATAATCATTCCTGTAATAATTCCTTGCTGTCGGTTGCATGACACGATTTGACATATAAAAAATAATTTGAGCTGTTATCAGGATGATCACAAGCTTGAAACTAACTGGAGGGAAAGGAGGGGGGGGGTTCGTAGTCTCCTAACTTTTTCATCTCTTTTATCTATTTTCTTTGAAGATTGGCTGAATATGATCACTGATTATGAGCCTTGACTATAGTTTGGAATCATTACCATTAACAAATAACGAGACAAAAATTGTAATGCAAGTATGATAATGATAAAGTAAATTACCACAAATCATAGTGATAGTGTCCACAATTACCAATTATGTACTAATCACAATTTCCAATCTTTAATAAAATAATTCGAAAGTATGTCAAATCATTCTATCGAAACTCGATAACTTTTTTTCAAAAGTCAACGAAAGTTCATCTTATTTCACAGCTGCACTGGTGCAGGGCACCCGGCTTGCCCGACTTTATTTAGACAAATCGTTCTCAGCTCGGAATCACCTTCACAAGGTGCACCACCACCTATTGGCATTTCACATACCCGTTGTCGTATTTTCTCACAGCCTGAATCGGGCCCAAAGCAACCCTGTATTTTCTTCCAACGACCCCAACTTCCGTTCTTGGAACAAATTTCCTCGTTGCAGACCATCTGCTCTTTTTCCACTTTCATCTCCGCTTCTTCCCCACCGCACAACCTTCCTCCATGTTTTGGTTTAGGGTTGTCACACTTCCTGCTCCGTTTCATCACGCCTCCTCCGCATTGTCTGCTGCACTTGCTCCACTCTGTGAACTCGCTCCAGTTACCGTCGTTCGGGCCGGGCCTACACCTACCTTTACACTTTTTCGTCTTTGGATTAACGGCATCCCCGATACATTCTTGACCACCATATGCAGCAGCTGGGCTGTCACAGGATCTTTCTCTTTGTGCGAAACCAGTCCCGCATTCAACAGAGCATTCACCATAGTCTCCCCATTCCGACCATTGTCCGTTAACAGGACATGGATCCGGGTTACAGGCCTGGTTTTCTGTAGCCTCTCCGTCGCAGGGGTTACCTCCATTCTCTGGTGCTGGGCTGTCACAATTCCTGCTTCGCTCCATAACACCTCCTCCACAAGATGCCGAACACTCACTCCATGCAGAGTAATCGCCCCAGTTACCGTCAACAGGACATGGATCCGGGTTACAGGCCTGGTTGTCTGCAGCTTCTCCGTCGCAGGGGTTACCTCCATTCTCTGGTGCTGGGCTGTCACAATTCCTGCTTCGCTCCATAACACCTCCTCCGCAAGATGCCGAGCACTCACTCCATGCAGAGTAATCGCTCCAGTTACCGTCCACTGGGCAGGGTCCTGCATCACACTCAATTTCTTCAGATGAATCTCCCTCACAGTTCTGACCTCCAAATGCTGGAGCAGGGTCGGAGCAGGACCTTGCTCTTATTGTGACCCCAAGACCACAAGAAGCAGAGCATTCGGTAAAAGTAGTCCATTCCGACCACCCTCCATTGACCGGATCTGGGACAACAACACATGGAATATTGTTGCAACCCTTGCTTTCTGCAGCGCTTCCTTCACAGTCGTTACCTCCCTCGCCTGGTGCGGGGTTGTCACAGGTCCTGCTCCGCTCCGTAACACCTCCTCCGCAAGATGCCGAACACTCACTCCAGGCAGAGAACTCACTCCAGTTGCCGTCCACTTTGTTGCTTCCTCCCGCATTACATCCTGCAAGCCAAGCGTCCATTTTCAAGCAGCCCCTCAGCACGTGGTTCCTCATGTCTTTTATATCCCTTGACGAGTCAAAAGGGTAACCGAGTGTACCTTCAAATCCTCTCTCCAAGCACTTCCTCCGGTATTGAATCATGGTCTTTTCCATCTTTTTGTGACATTGTCCACCTTTTTCCTTGACGTCCAAAGTCCCCTTGCTGAAGACGACACCAACCAGGACGACGATGAGTAGCATCGAGATTTTCATATCTCCGCAGGATCGATACAGTCAGTAGTCACTAGTATATACTCGTGATAAAAAGATGCGAGAAATAATAGTGTTCGTTTGTTTCTGCAGTGGGTATATGAATATATGAGACGTCTCAAACATTGAAACAAGTCAGTTTATTTGTACTCACTACTCGTGTATTTAGAACCGGTTTCTTTGATTTAAAATTCGGTGTTATATATTAATAACGTACATCTATTGTTGACTTTTATTGTTAGTATATGTAATGTATTTTGACAAATATTAACAATATTAACGTATTAATAAATGATATTATTTCAAATTAAATGCGAATACCACGAACTTGAAGTTTCATGAAATAATAAATAATATATACATTATTAGGTTTTATAAGCACTTTGAACTATATTTTAATTTATCGCATAACTGGCAAAATATTCTATTCTCGTCTCTTATTTATAATAGAAATAAGCATTTTATAATATTGGTTGTCTAAAATTTCGTTGGCTAAGAGTTTATAAGTTATAGTCCTGAAAGTCCAAGGTACCACCGAAGTTGTGGCATTGGCTGGGCACAGTCCGAAAAAGTGCGAGACAGCATCTTGGTCATGGTCGCCCATAGAACAGGCACAATTGTGCAAAATAATTGCAAATGGTATGGAGGTGCTTGTTCAGCCCACATAGTCCCGTAATAAAGTGCACGATGCGGTTCTGTATTTCTGTTTGTTGTTTCATATTAGTATTTAGTTATTTTTAAGAACTTGTGATACTTACCACTTAAAAATTAAACGCGAATGTTATACTTAATGATATTACAAATTTTGCGAATATCGCGGTCTCAGTTGATCTGGAAGGTGCCGGCGGTTCTAATGATCAAATTTGAATATAATGATATGTTAAATAAACATTATAACGACATAAAGACAGCCCCTTGAGGGTCACTTCACAAACGATTCCAAGCTCTGTCGGAACTTTTTTTCTACATTTACTCTTGAACACTCCAAAATCAAAACAAATCTAGTTGACTTTCGATCTTATATGTTTTATTGTAAAGAAACTTACTTACTTTAATAACAATTCCGCCTCACAGCATAAGAATTCACAACATTTCAGGGAACGATGATCCCGTAATCGAATAATCTCTTAAAACGCCGCTTATTTGGTTCATGCTTTCTTATTTTCAGTTTTCCCGCCTTCTCTAACTGCTTTCTCTAACTTTTGAGCTGTTCACACCAATCTTCCTTTATGTATCGGGCTTCTTCCTTTCCTCGATATCGGGCTTCTTCTCAAATTTGTTCATTGCCTTGACTCATAATTGAATAGATTTTGAGTTATAGTTCAGACGAGATATTAATGCTCTTATCATACAAGTTACAATAAAGTCTTCATGTTATTTATCCTGGGTTTGGACAGGATATAACCCGCTTAAAATATTTCCATCGCGTTACATAATACTCAATTAATTTATTTAATTTTAGTTGTGAAAATAGTTTATGTCATTTATTGGTCCAATATTAATCTGGTTGAAAGATATTGCTATTTTACCTATTTTTGGGAGTATAAATTTAAGAATTTGTATATATGGTGGGCTGCTATCTAATGCTACATAAACTTATTTGGTAAAACATTTAAGAATTTTCGGACTTTTCTTCAAGAGGCCCTTATTAATATTATAATATTAAAGCACAAGCATAATTAGCAATCATAATAGTAATACGATGTTCGCATACGCTAAGATAACGCGCGTCTTATGGGCCCATATGGTAAACCACAGAGGATATACCTTATCGGACCTTATTTGGACGGACATTACTTGAACGCTGGAAGCCCTAGCGTTCATCTTAATGTCCGTTCAAATAAAGTCCGTTCAATTAATGTCCGTCCAAGTTAAAGTCCGTTGAAATTTTTTCAAAAATTTTTTCATTTCGAACTTTTTGTCCAGAATATGACAACTTTGAGAACTTTATTGTGCCGTAAGTTAACGACGGAAAGGTTCTCCTTGGTCTGCCGGAGGCACAGAAAACTCTACTAGTATATGATGTTTTCAAGGGTCACTTGTACTTGGCGGAAAAAATTCAACGAAATTATATTTATGGCACTCAAGTCTCAACAACATAGTTCATGAACTAGTCCCCGTCAACATGACAAACTTGTTCCAGCCTCTAGATATTACGGTAAATCGTGTTGCAAAGGACATTGTCCGACGTTGTTATAGCTCATATTACTCAGGGGCGGTAATGAAACAGTGCTAGGAAATCTCCACGTGATGTTAAGGTTAATCTTAAGTTGTCTAAGATAAAACCACTTCACGCCGAATGGCTTGTAAAAGTTAACACTGAAATGCAGGACCGGGGTAGTTTGATTAAAAAAAAGGTTTCCATAAAGCTAGACATCACTGATGCTTTAAGCATGGACTATTTCATGCACGAAAACCCATTTGATGAAGATGATATGTGATATTAAAACTGATCGTGTACACATATTTTAACATTTTTACTGCTTAATGACTGCTTTTCTTACTTACTGTATAAAAAATGGATTTAAAAATCATTTGCTGAAATTAAAAAAACGTCAAAACAATTGAAAAAAATTCGGATTTTTGATGGTTTTGAATGCCTTCGAGCGTTCATATTAATGTCCGTTCATAATTATGTCCGTTCATGTAATGTCCGTCCAAATAAGGTCCGATAAGGTAGTTACTACTAACAGTAACAATTTAGTTGTCCATGTGAGTTAAGGAATAGGGAGGTTCATAATTTCAACATAATGTCAGTTGTTCACCTTCACGTGTCTGTACGCCATAAAAGACATGAGGAACTGTCCGACGGAAAAATAAATGTCACATTTATTCTTATTAAAATAATTGTATCATATATCTGATATTATAAATAATTGATTGTCAAACAACATGTTAACAATAGATGTTATGACAGGTACAGGATTATGCAGATTCTGGTGGGGAGGTGAAGCATATGTCTAGACACGTGATAGTGATTCTGGGCTTTGATTGATTAATAGTGGAAGCTAATTGGACTATTGCTGTCACGGGTTAACAAATATGTCTCACCTCATATACTAACAATAGGATTAGTTTATTAACATTATACCAGTTTGGTACTCAAAGCAACCAGTTCTAAATACATGAGTATTGAGTACAAATAAACTGACTTGTTTTGAAGATGGCAGCAGGTTGCAGATATTATACTCACCCCCATAATGACCAATCGTTGTCATTTTTTGAAACATTTTATTGTGACTATATCATTGTGACTGTATCGATCCTGCGGAAATATGAAAATCTTGATGCTACTCATCGTCGTCCTGGTTGGTGTCGTCTTCAGCAAGGGGACTTTGGACGTCAAGGAAAAAGGTGGACAGTGTCACAAAAAGATGGAAAAGACCATGAGTCAATACCGGAGGAAGTGCTTGGAGAGAGGATTTGAAGGTACACTCGGCTACCCTTTCGACTCGTCAAGGAATATAAAAGACATGAGGAACCACGTGCTGAGGGGCTGCTTGAAAATGGACGCTTGGCTTGCAGGATGTAATGCGGGAGGAAGCAACAAAGTGGATGGCAACTGGAGCGAGTTCTCTGCCTGGAGTGAGTGTTCGGCATCTTGCGGAGGAGGTGTTACGGAGCGGAGCAGGACCTGTGACAATCCCGCACCAGGCGAGGGAGGTAACGACTGTGAAGGAAGCGCTGCAGAAAGCGAGGGTTGCAACAATATTCCATGTGTTGTTGTCCCAGATCCAGTCAATGGAGGGTGGTCGGAATGGACTACTTTTACCGAATGCTCTGCTCCTTGTGGTCTTGGGATCACAATAAGAGCAAGGTCCTGCTCCAACCCTGCTCCAGCATTTGGAGGTCAGAACTGTGAGGGAGATTCATCTGAAGAAATTGAGTGTGATGCAGGACCCTGCCCAGTGGACGGTAACTGGAGCGATTACTCTGCATGGAGTGAGTGTTCGGCATCTTGCGGAGGAGGTGTTATGGAGCGAAGCAGGAATTGTGACAGCCCAGCACCAGAGAATGGAGGTAACCCCTGCGACGGAGAAGCTGCAGACAACCAGGCCTGTAACCCGGATCCATGTCATGTTGACGGACAATGGTCGGAATGGGGAGACTATGGTGAATGCTCTGTTGAATGCGGGACTGGTTTCACACAAAGAGAAAGATCCTGTGACAGCCCAGCTGCTGCATATGGTGGTCAAGAATGTATCGGGGATGCTGTTAATCCAAAGACGAAAAAGTGTAAAGGTAGGTGTAGGCCCGGCCCGAACGACGGTAACTGGAGCGAGTTCACAGAGTGGAGCAAGTGCAGCAGACAATGCGGAGGAGGCGTGATGAAACGGAGCAGGAAGTGTGACAACCCTAAACCAAAACATGGAGGAAGGTTGTGCGGTGGGGAAGAAGCGGAGATGAAAGTGGAAAAAGAGCAGATGGTCTGCAACGAGGAAATTTGTTCTAAGAACGGAAGTTGGGGTCGTTGGAAGAAAATACAGGGTTGCTTTGGGCCCGATTCAGGCTGTGAGAAAATACGACAACGGGTATGTGAAATGCCAATAGGTGGTGGTGCACCTTGTGAAGGTGATTCCGAGTTGAGAACGATTTGTCTAAATAAAGTCGGGCAAGTCGGGTGCCCTGCACCAGTGGAGCCTGTGAAATAAGATGAACTTTCGTTGACTTTTGAAAAAAGTTATCGAGTTTCGATAGAATGATTTGACATAATTTCGAATTATTTTATTGAAGATTGGAAATTGTGATTAGTACATAATTGTTAATTGTGGACACTATGACTATGATTTGTGGTAATTTACTTTATCATTATCGTACTTCAACTTGCATTACAATTTTTGTCTCGTTATTTGTCAATGATATAGATCTGAAATGTACAAAACCAATTGTTTCAAAATGAAATATGTTGAAGATGGAGAGCTTGTGGTGTAGATACTCTGCATCTAGGTCCCAGTGATCGGGTAAATTTCGCGTCGGTTAACTCCGTGGCTTAAACCCTGCGGCAGAAAAATAAACCAGATAGCGTTCGGGCTAGAACCCACTGCTGTGAGTTTTGAACAATGTTTGGAACTACTAACAGGTGCGGAGAAACTCTACACAGTAATATTATGTATACATGTTAGGGCTCTATTATAGAATGGAAATATCAGATTTCAGGGGACCCAGATGTTGAGATGTAGGTCACTCGCTCCTTTGTCTGCTGCTTTTGGCGGTCGTTTCTTTAGTCAGTCCCTCATTCTTCTTCTTTAGATTTCCCTCAAGTCTCGACTTGTTTCAGCGTCACATAGATTATTATTATTGTATACAGGAGGTGACCGGGACATGATTTCAGGCCTGACCGGGACCGGAACTGGGACCGGGACCGGGATACAAAATGTGACTTGACCGGGACCGGGACCGGGACCGGGACTGAGACTATCAATTTACCGGGACCGGGACCGGGACCAATAATTTCTATCTTACCGGGACCGGGACCGGGACCGGGACCAACAATCCAATTTGACCGGGATGACCGGGATGACCGGGATGACCGGGATGACCGGGATTTGACCGAGTTGACCGGGATGACCGGGACCAAAACTGGTATTCTCATATTGAAAGCTGCAACTTTCATTTACATTATAATTGAACAATTTGAATAAGTAATAACTAGAATATTAAATTAGAAAAAACTAGAAAAAACCCGTCAATATGGGGCATGGGCCTAATGTACTACACCAATAATGTTCATGTACTGATTACTCAAGTTCACCCTCATTCCTCATTCCTCAATCAATGATCCCTCAACTTATTCAACAGTTTCATTCTCCAATTCCAATTGACAATTGGGCGTAGCTTGATGTTACTTTGCACTTATGAGTTATGTAACGATATTAGTTACCGAGTAGAAATAGCTTTGATCTACACTGTTTAGCAATTTTAAACATTGTTTTATTTGGCTCAGAGGTTGTTTAAAGATGAAATTCACAATGAATGAAAGTAAAAACTTAAAATCACAGTGAATGAAATTATGTAAAAGATCCCGGTCAAAATCCCGGCAAATTTGAGTGATTGACCGGGACCAAGAATCCTGAATTAACCGGGACCGGGACCGGGACCGGGATCATGAATCAGCATTTGACCGGGACCGGAATGAAAAATGTGACTTGACCGGGACTGGGACCAGGACCGGGATAGCTCAAAATTGCCAATCCCGGTCACCTCCTGATTGTATACAAGAACGCTTTATAATACGTTTAGTGAGAGGGGACAATGTTATTAGTATAAGTGTAAATTGGTAATGAGTTGCACTCTTCAAATTGTCCTTGGTATTATTTGCTGATTTATATACTTTTCGTTTACCAAACATGGCGTTTTAGTTTATATTAAGCGTTCAATTGGTATTAATGTTTGATGTTATCTAGAGCAACGTTGTAACATTCATCATCCAGATTAAAATGGCGATGAATTTGGCAGCTATCAGTCACCGAAATCGATAATAAAACAGATGGTCTAGAGTCTTAGAGTGTCTCCACGACTACAAATTCAAACAGCGAATTAAAACCATCCAGTTAAAGACTGTTCATTGTGTTATGCACGAACGAAGTCACAAAGCAGGAAGACCGTTCAAATGTGATATCTGTGATTATGCTGCAGCAAGGAAGGATGTCTTGAAAAAACACAATTTCATTCACACTGGCAAACCATTTCAGTGCGACGAATGTGATATCAGGAAAAGGGACAAATATGACCTTAAAATTCATAAACTAACCCACCTTAAAATTCATAAACAATACAAATGTGATTTGTGCGAATATCGAGCTAAACGTAAATGCGAATTAAAAACACACAAGCTGTCACACAATGATCGGATAACAAGGTCACACCCATGTCCTTATTGTGACTTTATAGCTGTTACAGAGTTAAACCTCAAAACCCACGTGACAGTTCGACATTTAATCAAGAGACCGTCTGAAGCAGAGACAAACTCAAACGAGGATTCAAAGGAGAGTAAGGAGTGGAAGCAAGGAGACCGAGTGCTAATAAAGCGTACATATGGTAAATATAAAAAGATCTCGCCTAAATGGGTTGATGGACGATTCCACATTGTTAGGAAACTCAGCGATGTCAACTGGGAAATCACAGATTCTAAGGGTAAACATATAATTTATCACAGTAACCTGATGATGGACGCAGGCACCAGAAAAGAACCTGTTGCAAGCAGAACATCAACAGATACTGAAGAGGTGGAAGCGACAAACACACCAAGACTCCATGAGATCATCATGCCATCGTTACCCACTACCAATACTACAAAGGCTCCTGATCCTACACTACTGATATCTACTACACCTACATCGCTGGTGGAAAACCTTTTGGATCAGACACTAATAGACACCCTTGATATGCGGGGATTTAGGGAACACGTTCTGTCAGAAAGCCCTGAAGCAATAGAGGATTGCCTAAGGGATCCTAAGGATACCATTAATGAGACGGGGATCGCTACTGAGGAGAGTACCGAAACTACGGAAGAGGTCGCTACTACAGAGGTTATACCTACTTCATCTAATGCTACACGCTCAGGCAGAGTCTCTAAAGCTGTAATGGGTAATAGACTCATTGACCAGATTTAGATTGAATAGACTTTCAAATTTATAAACACTTTTTTATTATGACGGTAATCAATAGTGTTTAATGTTATTAGTTGATACCTTGATAGTTTTCAGAACCTGTTTGGACCGCCAGATTTATATGGGTTTTAGGGGAGTTATTAAATTATTTATGATTGTTCTTGACCTATTTTGATATGGTGTTTATTGAAAAAGTTTTCGAAAATGTATGAGAACACTTTTATTTTTGAGAGATTTATCAACATGTTTCAGGGACAAAAGGATTTCGCGATTATTTTGGCCAAATTTCGCGGTACCGCGAAATTTAACAGGCTATACATTAAACTACACATAAAATTTGTCGCGGAGAATGGGAAATTTCGCGATTTCGTACATGCCGCGAAATCCTTTTGTCCCTGACATGTTTTAAAATTATTTTAGTTTTTCGATATCTTTGGGGTATTTGAAATTGACTCAAACAAACTGATGCTATTTATTAATTCTTTTAATTTATTAAACATCTTATACAATTTTAACTGGGTTTGAAATTTTGATCTAAATCTTCTAAAAATAATTTGATTTTTGCTTAATCTTCAAAATGACCCTGGGGCCTGGTCATTAGAAACACCCTTAAAAGTTTGTTCCTTGACAAAAATATAAAACGTCTGTAATTTCATTTTTGTTTTATAGTTCACATTTTATTTTTGGTATGCGTATAGAAAATCGATACGGCTTTAAAATGAGATGCTCAGCCGTCAGCGTCCTCTTAGCTTACTCACTAGACTCAGGAAGAATGACTGAACTGGCAGGGACAATTGAGGCTAACGAATTAGCCTCATCACTTTTCAAAATAAACTTTCTCATGTAACGTCCATGATATCCAAGTTGCAAGTACAGGGTGGCCCAAAAGTAACTACCCACACGCAACCCTATAATAACTCACGTAATTCGTGTCAGAGTATAGATATGGGTCGAACTGAGAATTTCTGAAAGTTTCGCAAAATTTCATCGATTACAGAGGGTGTGGCACGCCACTTCTCTTTCTTACTATTGTCACCATAACGTGAGAACGCTTTGAGCTAGGAACTCCAACGTTTCTAGACACATTTGGTTTGATAATTCAAGTGATTGATTATTAGCAGGTTCATCACTATTTATAGTTGTTTAATTTTAATCGTTGTTTAAGCCTTATGGCATCCCATTTACTTATATATTAGATTTGACCAAAACCCATAATCATGGGTAGAGTGTACCGCTGCCAGTGTCTCTGTTTTCCAAACAAAAGGAAATGATATTAATTTGAGGAACAGTCCGCTAATGCAAATTGATACCGAGAATGAAATCGGTCGCTCGCTTTTTCAAATCAATAAGCTTTATTACAATTCGTGAGCCGTGATCGGATGGAAAAAGCGAGCGACCGATTTCATTCTCGGTATCAATTTGCATTAGCGGACTGTTCCTCAAATTAATATCATTTCCTTTTGTTTGGAAAACAGAGACACTGGCAGCGGTACACTCTACCCATGATTATGGGTTTTGGTCAAATATCATCTCTTTTTGATTATAATGTCAGGATAATTTACACAGCTAGTCGAAACTTCATTAACAAGGAGGTAATTTCGACGATTTCGAAATTTTGCCTTTGAAAACGTTTCCTTGTGTTTAGTTAGGTATATCTGTCGATAACCGACTGAATATGGCACTTTTTACTCATTCAAGTTGGCATTAAATTCATATATAATGCCATTTAAATATCGTGGAAAGCAGAATATATTCGAAATCACGAATGAGCAAAATTCTCACCTTTCGCACGTGCAAACTTTGAGCGGACGTTGCGTGCGCATACAATATTGAATCACCGTAAATTTTTGCATAGTGGTATTTAATATATAGTTTGATAAGCATGCAAAGTTTCAGAAGATTTCAAAAAGAACTTGGATCACAACGGGACTCCAAAGTTGATGAAAATCGTGAAAATCAAAATTTTTAGTGATTTTAGCTATTTTAAATCAATTTGGGCGTGTCCCCACGTGTGCAACTTTTCGATTTTTAACTTTAAAACTAGCCTATAACACAATTTACACCTTTAAGAAGCAAAATTGAGCTCCACAACCCAAGGGATAGCCCAACACCAGAGAATACTAATTCACAACTTTTGTGTTTTTATAAAATTATTCTTCAAAAAAGCACTAACTTCAATAGCAAATATCTTTATGAAGGAGTAAGGTAGGAAACTTTTCCAGTAGATTTTTAGAATGCTTGAACAATTATCTAAGATGAAAATGTCCTCAGATTTTGAATAAAATTACTCTTTAATGGTGTAAAATCGATTTGAAAAGTTGTTGTTTTGTCAAAAATCAAGTTTTAAAAACACTTAAATTGATGACGTCATCAAGTGATGATGATGATGATAAATTATTTTTCAATATAAAGTAAACTAAAGTATAAACGATTATCTTTAAAACCTGTGGTTCGAAATGACTGTATCTTTTATACTTTTGAATCTACGGACACTTAAATGTAGGCTACAATTGACTGCAAAAAGCGTCTATACATATTATTATTATATATATATATCTTCACGACAATCTGTTGTAAAACAGGGGTTCCAGAAAACCCACTTCCCGATACTCCTGAAACATGAAATTTTTTTTACTGTCGACTTGGACAAGGTCTAGACGCCCTGCAAAGTTTCAGATATCTAACTCAATTTTAACATGGTTTTTAAGGCACCTGAATATGGCGATTTTGGGTTTTTTACCTAATTTCGTATAACATGCTGGCGCGTATTTTGCGCAAATTTCTTAAAAACCTCCATATAACTATTTCTTATTCCTGTCATCTTTAACATTGAATTAGAATGTTTTGAACTTAAATGTATCTGCTGAACTACTTTCGAAAAAGTCTTAATGCCTGGAAAACAATAAAGGGGATATAATAGTATAGGGGGTAAATAGTATTGTGAATATAAGGGCGACGGTGTGTATCTTCATTTGTTAAACTAATAATATCCGATGAAATTGTGCTAAAAATTCCCTATTATGACTCCTATTTAAGGAGTCATGACAATCTTAACAGATTTAATAGATTTGCAGTATTGTAATTACTTAATTAGTCTCTTAGGTGCCCCCTGAGGCTTGTGGCCTCTTGGAGGCCCTGCACCTTTTTTAGTAGTTTTTTGTTCCACGAATATATTTTTGCATCAACCGATCACTCAGAAGGTGATTATCTGTCAAATCAGTCGATTGTTCGTGAAAAGGGCTTAAAATTCGGTGAAATAAAAAATGACTCCCCAGCAGCAGCAGCAGCAGTGGTGAGGTCTGCAGGGCTCTTTGTTTCATTGTCGACCTTTTTGTTACGATATTCATGTTTCAGTAAGGAAAGAAGTGCTGTATGCTATGGAAGGATCCACTGTGTCCCTTTATACGAATACTGCTGCTGTATCTATTCTACACACTTCAAATGAGGGTTCTTAGTTTCTGAATTTTAATTTAAGCTTTTAAAGTCAATGTATTTTCTATGTTAGAATACATTAAGAAGTCGTCACTTGAACCGATAAATACTAATAGATATTAACTTTTTCATAGATCAAGTTTCATTATAGAACAGTCTAATACATATTTTTGTCGAAAATTCTTTGCAAAAAAGCTATTCCAACGGGAAATGGTCGGGACAGGTCCCAGAAATCATCCCAGAGAGTTCCCAAAACTTTTGATCAACTATTTTTATGTGTTCTGCAGGTTACACTAAGGTTGTCACCGACAGAAGTAGTGACTATCGCTTGTTCGATACCAAGCTGATAATAGTTTCTTTGAGCGCTTCCACCCAAGGTTTGTATTTAGTAGTAAATCTTTCAAAGTACGAAATATTTCTTTAAAAGAGCATCCTAGGCACCTTATAGATATCAAAACGCATAAAAAAGAAAACAAAAACATCAACCATCTTCTAACTTCTTCCACTCCTCCCTATCTAAAGCTAAAAATCTAAGGTCTTCGAAATCAGTCAAATTCTTAAGTCTAATATCAAGATTTCTACTAGTCAAGTCTTTTCTAATAACATCTAATAAGTTTAAACATGGTCTACCCCGTCTCCCTTCCATAAAAATATCAGAATTTATAGCAAATAACATAGAGGTGTATGCTGGTGAGTCTTCCTGTCCTCTTAAGATATGTCCTAACATTCTCCATCGAAACTTAGAGACTCTTACAGACAAGGGAGTGACATAACAACGAGCATAGAGTGCCTCATTAGAAATAACCCCAGTAGGCCATCTGATGTTGAGGATTCTTCGGAGGTGTTTGCGATGAGCAATATCAAGTTCATTCAACGAAGCTAGTGGTGCAGCCCAGGAATTGCAGTTGTAGAGTAGAATAGAGACTACTTGTGCCTCGTAGATTTTGATCTTCCTTTGGACTGAAATCTTGCTCTTCATCCAAACTTTCTGAAATTTACTAAAGGCAACATTACCAAGGAATATTCGATTCTTGATATCCTTAACAGTGCACATCAACGATCCTAAAGTTTAATTTAGAGCGCCACTCTTCATCACCTCTATACACTTTTCCAACAATCACCTTGCGTTTAACAGTGGGTTTAGGATCTGCTAAATAAAAATGGACAAATTCAGTCTTGGAAGAATTGATATGAAGGTCCCACTGCTGGAATATATCTTTAGCGATAGGAAGCATTTCTTTGAGTGGAGCAAGTGCAGTGTTATTAAAGTCAATATCATCAGAGTATCCTGTTTCGAGTGGCATGAATTCTTCTGAGATAGGAGGATTAGGGATTGGATGATTCACTGGGTAAGGTGTTGATGATACTTGGGAGAGTACAGATCTGAGGTGAATAAGTGCAGCGGCTTCAACAACAGTAAATAGATTACCTGATAGTGCATCTCCTTGAAATGCTCCAGTTGTGCTTTGGAACTCAATTGATACAGTATTATTGACTTTTACTTTCAACACTGTGTTTGATAGTAGGAGCCGTACCATCCTAATTTCATCACTAGTACAGCCAGCATCTTCAAGAACATTGAGTACTGTTTCTCTGCTGATGGTGTCAAAGGCACTTGACATGTCTATACTCATTCTGTGGTAGCTCCAATGCTTTCTAAGTACCACTGAGTTTAGCATACGTTGAGACCAAATTATTTCGCCACAACTTCTACCTCTCTTGTAAGCACTTTGTGTAGGACCGGTGTACTGATCTAGCTTGCCTTGGATACGTTTTAGGGTAATCATTGACAGTAATTTTCTGGAGCAGTTTGAGAGGGTGAGAGGTCTGATGTTTGCTGCTGGACCAAGTGGTTTCTTAGGCTTTTGGAGTGGAGTAATGTTGCCTTTTCCAATAGATGTTATGGTGGTGTTTGTTTCAAATGCGGTATTTATACAGTCTGCATATTTCTGAAATACACTTCTGTTTGTATTTACCAAAAGTAAACATTCGAGCTAAATTCTAAAATATTTTAACAAATAGGTGATTTGAAATTTCTTAATAGATTTGCAGTATTGTAATTAGTCTCTTAGGTGCCCCCTGAGTCTTGTGCCCTATTGGAGGCCCTGCACCCTTTTTTAGTAGTTTTTTGTTCCCCGAGTATATTTTTGCATCAACCGACCAAAAGGTGTCAAATCGGTCGATTGTTCGTGAAAAGGCTTAAAATTCGGTAAAATAAAAAATGACTCCCCAGCAGCAGCAGCAGCAGTGATGAGGTCTGCAGAGCTCTTTGTTTCATTGTCGACCTTTTTGTTACGATATTTATGTTTCAGTAAGGAAAGAAGTGCTGTATGCTATGGAGGGATCTACTGTGTCCCTTTACACGAATACTGCTGCTGTATCTATTCTACACACTTCAAATGAGGGTTCTTAGTTTCTGAATTTTAATTTAAGCTTTTAAAGCCAATGTATTTTCTATGTTAGAATACATTAAGAAGTCGTCACTTGAACCGATAAATACTAATAGATATTAACGTTTTCATAGATCAAGTTTCATTATAGAACATTCAAATACATATTTTTTTCGGAAATAATTTGTAAAAAAGCTATTCCAGCGGGAAATGGTCGGGACAGGTCCCAGAAATCATCCCAGAGAGTTCCCAAAACGTTTGATCAACTATTTTCATGTGTTCTACAGGTTACACTAAGGTTGTCACCGACAGAAGTAGTGACTATCGCTTGTTCGATACCAAGCTGATAATAGTTTCTTTGAGCGCTTCCACCCAAGGTTTGTATTTACCAAAAAATAAAAATTCGAGCTAAATTCTAAAATAAATTAACAAATTGTTGCTTTGAAATTTCTGTCAAATCTATGGTTGTTTTGAAGTCACATTTCAGGAACATATTATCTGTCCGACAACACTGGTAACACGAACGTCTACATCGTTCATTCACTGACTCATCGCAAAACTAGTTTGTCCCAGCAATATTCTATTTCAAATTCAAAGACTTTGCCGGATATTTCAAAGTTATAACCTGATTCTCAGACTAGAGTGCTACGAAAACTAGCCTATTTTATCAAAGAGTTATAAAATCTTAGTCTTATCAAGTTATCACCGTCTTCAACCTAACATAAAACTTTCAGCGTATCAAAACAACATCACAGTCTTCAAAGGGAAGGACGTCAGGATCAGCACGGAGTCGTACAACCAGGTGGTTGTTTGGTACAAGATCACTGCTGGGTTACTAGTACCAGTGGTGGACACCTCCATCAGGATCCAAGTGCGACCTTCTGTTCTTTTGATCAGAAAAGCTGTTACCACGGACCAAGGCACGCGTAATTATTAATTTTCGAAGGTCAAGGTTGATGGAGAAAGCCTCAGTGAAAGATTTTGTTTAGCCGATGTTTGGCTTCAGCGTAGCTTGAACCTTCTAAATTTTGTCATCATCAAGATTCAATTAATTGGTAAAGAAATTAATTGTCAAAGAAATTAATATTCAAAGAAATTAATTGTTAAAGAAATTAATTATCAAAGAAATTAATGTTAAAGAAAATAATATGCAGATTACCATAGTTCCACTTCAGGCGTTTACATGGGCAAGTCAGGGTCAGGTGATTGGTTCATGTTCACAGTAACCGTAATAGATAAAGTAGACCCTATCAGCTACTGGGTGATGCACGGTGATACGTTTGCTATCTCCCTCCGCAAGCAGTACTCTGATATAAAGTGGTAAGTAATTATACTAGTTAGCAGGGGTCGACCGGGATCGGGATTTTCACGATATTTATATGTTGAAAATTGAAATGGAACATTTTAAGCAACCTTCGTATAAAGTGGTTAGTACGTTCAAAATCAACATTTCCCGCAATCAGACAACGAATGAATTATAAAGCGTATATACAACTACTTGTACTCACTTACTAACTCATCCTCCTGAATCGTTTAATCAGCTTACTAATGAAAATATGGGTGGGTTTTAATTTTAATTTTAAAGAATGGGCGTGTTGTTGGAATTAAGAAGTAAATTTCGCACCAGATCAAAATATCAAGTGATGAACTGACAAATTTAGTCGCTAAGCTTTGTTTAAAAAATTACAGTGCACAGTTTATTAGTTTATTGTTTATTGAATGATAACCGACCGAGATTTTGTGCTCTAATTTTCACATCTGTCAAGACATCAATGTATTATCTAAATCTCTTTATCATCGCTGCTAAGGTGGCTAAAGCTGCGATCGTCTAGTGGTTAGGACCCTGCGTTGTGGCCGCAGAAACCCAGGTTCGAATCCTGGTCGCAGCACTTTTGTTCTTTTTAAGTGGGACTATACCCACTTAAATATGTTTATGAATCTTATAAAGTGTTTGATTATCAGGTATTTCATGTCCTCGACCTACCTACTGATATCTAACAGTGCAACATACTCTGTGCTAAATAATGGTAAGTTATGTAAATATTAGCTCAAGATATAGAAATCGACCTTTCCTCGATTGTTCCCAAATATATTGTATATTTTCTCTCTCAAATAATTTCTGTTTAATGAACGCTCTCTTTCGAAAAGTTGAACAGATTTCCAACAGGTCAGGGACTTGTTATAAAGAATATGAGGGAGAACCAGGCGGGATACTACCAAGTCACATATGTTTCTGGTCGCTCACCCTCCAATGTGTTCTACGAGTTAAAAATAGGAAAAGGTGCGATTTTAAAAGATTTAGTACCAATATACTGTTCTCTAGTCGTTCTCATTGCCAGATCCAGCCTTGCTGTATAGATGATCCTCAATTATAATAGATATGGTATATGTTTATAATCGATGGGAAGTTCACTCAATAATTAACACTTATACAATACATGACCTACTATACAATCTTATTCTAGTAAAAAGAATACTTGAACATACAAACTCAGTATAACGTTATAAACCCAGTGATCCGAAGAACCCAAATACACGCTCTGGACGGGGAGGAGATAAGAGTGTCAGGTAGTTCCAGGAACCCTACAGGGTGGTGTTTTAAAGGGAGATCAGAGGAACCAACAACTCCACTTCGTATGGGAGATGTGGAGGTGGTCGGAACTGGGCTTATCATCAGCAAACTTACTGTTCAAAACACGGGTATAAAATGGAATAATATCATGGTACTTGATAATCTATACGAGTATAGCTTCTCAACATATAGATTTAGAGTAAATGGACTTGTGTAGTTATGGACCATAATAACCATAGAATCAGTAAACCATAACTTATGGTTTTTACTGATTCGTATTCGCTTTCTCCCTGAACTTAATTCATTAAACGCTATGAATCACAGGGTACATATCCTCAGGAACCTACATATATGCGTTCGGCAATGGAGATATGGAAGTATTCGATATAGTAAGAGTGGTTCTGCCGAGCTTGCTAAATACAATGAACTTCTGGCTGGGCCAACAGGTTGCTATAGCAACGTTCAACTTTATTATACTTATTCTTCCTTCATATTAACCTCTGGGACTGCGGGGATGGCTTTACACTATCTGTTATCACAAGATCTACCCTATTTTTTCAGCTTTCAAACTCAGAACATACTATATAACTAAACAACAAAGTGTCGACTAACACCCCTCAACTCCAGATAGAACTGCGTGTCCGTTCTAACCAGATAGTCTCCACTTGGTATAAAGTCTCTGGGGGTGTTCTCACCCCGGTAACCTCCTCCGTCCAGATTGATACCCAGTCTCTGTTAATACCCCGAGCCGAGCTGACCCACCAGGGATTGTACCTTGCTCTAACGGACAGTAATCAGTGGCTTGCTTGGAGGGTTAATGTGAATCAGGAACCACGTAAGCTCTCCATTTTGTTATCACTAACCCTTGAACAATTCTACTCATATTTCAAAGTCTCATGGTGCTTTTATATGTGAGAATGACACTATGTCAGCGTAGTTTTTGTTTGATGTTAACCCCGATTCTCCCAGCAAACTACACGACAATAGTGGCACCGGAGGGAGTTAACGTGAGACTGGACGTAACTGGGCTTGTACTGAACTGGTACATCTTCCCCTCAACTTCTCCTCTACGGACTGATAGTAGAGTTCAAGTGGGCAGCAAGCATCTTGTTCTCAGAAACTTTGATAGCTCTTTTCAAGGTTTTCAGAAGATGACATTTTATGTGTTTATTAATGGTGATTGATAATGATTATCATGTTCAGTGTAAGTCGATTATGACCATTTGGTGTACTGCACTCTGCAGTTTGGACAATTGGACTTGTATGAATAACTCCTCATGAATCTTTTCATCATCAGGATTCTACAAAGCAGAGTATAGAAATTCGCAGGGTGGATCTGTAGCGATTTATTTTAAGGTTGAGCTGGCTCGTCAAGGTAAACTCCAGTAAATTAATACGAAACTAATATGTCTATAATATTAATTGTTGTCTTCGTCGATTACAACGAAGTTTCTAAGTGTGGCACACTAATAGTGTTTTGTGACCTTTTAATTTATTAAATCTCTAAATCTGTATCTCACTACTTTCCCTTTCCCAATCTCACTACTTTCCCTTTCTCTATTTTCCCTTTCTCCCTAGTTTCCACAGAGTCTATCAGTATGGTGGAAGGAAGAGCAGCGTACCTCCGTACCTCACTTCCGGGAGTAACAGCCTGGTATCACGTGGGGTTGGACGGGTTCTACACTAGGATCCAACAGTCATCTCATTACCACTCTATAGCTAGTGCTGATACGTATTCTGCTGGTTTGTTGTCTTTAGAAATGTTTAGAGTTAAGGAATTACAAGTTTTAATAATGAATTAAGACTTTGATACCGCCCTGATTTCAGAGATTTATATTGAATTGTTAACTAATATTTAATTACTATTATCTAGGTAGATACTACATAACAAACTCTGATGGATCAATCCACATGATTGACGTTCAACTATACAGCATAACAAAAGTTCATCAAGTCTCTTACCTCAAAGGTTAGTGTTCAACTCGTCATGTTTAATGATTTTAACTCCGGAAATCAACAAAAACGGAAATTGAGCAAGTGGTGCGTTGCGATAAAGTGGTCTATTAACTTATTTATATTTAAAACGCAAAGCTAACCTTGAATAACATGAACAGAGATTTGGAATAATGCGAGAGAACGAGTGGTTTGAAACTAAAGTGAGTGAGTGAGCGAGAGAAAGAGAAAGTGAATGGTACGAATGTAAGACGAATTCACATGATCATGTTACGTCATTTAGTGGCTTATATCAAGGACTCCGATTAACTAATGAACGATTGCACATTCTGTCATATATAATTCGAATGATCAGGTTTTTTCGTTTTTGATGGTTATTTTTTATATAACCGGCAATGGTTTCAAAAGACGAATTTTAAAATATTTGATTTAATTATCAATAATTTAAGTATTGTTTGAATTATGGAAACACAATTAATAGTTTTTGCTCAATACTCGATATATTATTATCACTATAAAAGATTGAAACCCCAGAAGATTTTAATAAAACTGTTTATTACCCTTAATGTTTGTCCTGTTTGAATTTTGGGTGAAGCTCGATGGTGGATTTTGTTTCGGTTTCAAACGCATATTCGGCATATATCTTTTTATCTGATGTCTACAGGAGCCAGAGAGACTCTTGGAACAGGAGAGACAGTTTCCAAGTGGTATACACTCAGAGAAGGGCTATTAGAGCTACTCACTGAACCAAATGTCGGGGTAGCAATAACCTCTACAGGTCTTGTGTTCCAGTCTATCATGCGGGACAATCAAGGTGAGGGATTTCTATTTTCTGGATCTTCTTCTATGTGAATTTATTATGTAAGGTAATCTGGTTGTCACAATTTTAGTTATTTACTACGGAATTTCTTATGTAAGGTAACCTGGTTGTCACAATTTAAGTTATTTAATACGGAATTTCTTATGTAAGGTAACCTGGTTGTCACAATTTAAGTTATTTACTACGGAATTTCTTATGTAAGGTAACCTGGTTGTCACAATTTCAATTATTTACTACGGAATTTCTTATGTAAGGTAACCTGGTTGTCACAATTTAAGTTATTTACTACGGAATGCTTAGGATTGTTCAATTTATTTCACATGTTGACTGATATGTTCAGGGATTTATGTGGCCGAGTACTATGGTGGAAATCTAGTAGGATGGGATGTGACAATCACTGATTCTCCTGATCAATCAATCACCCTTTACGTGCCCATTGGTATTATTTCAAACTTATTTAAGAATTTTCATAATGCTTTTTATACAATTCAGATTACTTTTAATGCATAGTCTGCGAAGAGGTCGAAACTGTTTGTGTGATCAAACTATATTAAATATAATAAATAATATAAAGAACGTGGTTTTCATGCGAACTAAAACCCTTTGTACAGCTTTATGAAGATTTTACCAATTAATCAGGGGTAAAGTTCGGACTAGAGGTTGCAACAGAAGGAACAGTATCTTGGTACTATTTGGAAACCTCCTCCACGACAGCACTGACTTCAACAGCAGATTTAATTGTTTACAACTCTGTTCTTGTGATCAGCTCTTTCTCTCATGAAACCAAAGGTAATTGTTTTGGTTATTCCATGTTATCCCAATTTGATCATTGATCTTGACTCCATAAAATTATATTTAATTAGCTGTTTTCTTTATTGAAATTGAACGCCTTCCTTAGGGTATTACAAGGCCTCCACGACGGTCGAAAGAAAGAATGTCGACTTCTATTTCAATCTTCTACCTGCTGTATCAGGTGAATTTCAATTTACACTACAGTTGATATAAATATTCAGTTACTAAATGTGGAGGATGGGGTGGAAAACATAACCGTGAAACCAGATACAAAACATTTAGAGTCAATTTAATCCGCCGTTCAATTTGTTCTTATCAGTATAGTCAATCCAAAACCTCTCTCAGTGGAGCGAATGGATATTACAGCTCTGATAGGATCAGATGTAAAACTAAGCGGTGGTAGATCACGTACAACAAGCTGGTACTCCGACAGAAGAACAGACTATGTTACACGCCTTGTTGGGGAGGGGGGCTGGTTTGAGGCTACTAACGAGTTCCTGCTTATTAGGAGTATTAACTACGACATGCAAGGTAAAGGTCATGTGATTAACTTCACTGTTATTAAAACAAATAAACTCTCAGACGATTTTAAGATTTTTGTTTTGTCCTGTGAAAATTAAATGTTTTCACCCACGTTATTTTCCCCAAAATCATATTGATATAACGTTCGGGGACAAATCCTATAAATACTCAACACTAAAATATGTATATCAGGAGAGTACTACAGCTCCGACGAGGATGGTAACATGGTCCTCTTCAATGTGAAGGTAGTGGATACAATGGATTCAAACACAGTCACTGTAACCGTACTTCTCGGCTCGGATGTCATCCTGACTCCCAAGTGAGGATCTTTAGTTTTGAATTGTACATTTTGAGAATTCTTGATAAGATATTATACCGGAATAAAACGTAAAATTTATACTAAAAATTATGTGTCTACTCGTCTAATGGTATGTATACGTAACAATATGCTATTCGTTTTAACATTTCATAAAAAATCGTTACGATCTTGCTAAATCAACATCGAAGTTGTTCAGCATGAAAATGTTATCATAGCCCTAAAACCCGTGTGTAGGTCGGGTGTATATCAGTTGCAGTGGTACGTGGCCAGGGACGGGGTCCTCCTCAAACCTACTGCTCAGGAGATTGAGTTTAACAGCCAGCAGCTGTCCATTAGAAACGTTCAGTTTGACCACGAGGCTGTTTATTATGGTAAGTGACGTTCAGTTTGACTACGAGGCTGTTTATTATGGTGAGTGACGGTTGTTATTTGTGTTGTCGTTATCAGTATCTGCAGTGATCTTTTATCTCGTGTTCACAAGAAACAACGCTGTCTTATCTCGTGTTCACAAGAAAGAACGCTGTCTTATCTCGTGTTCACAAGAAAGAACGCTGTCTTATCTCGTGTTCTCAAGAAAGAACGCTGTCTTATCTCGTGTTCACAAGAAACAACGCTGTCTTATCTCGTGTTCACAAGAAACAACGCTGTCTTATCTCGTGTTCACAAGAAACAACGCTGTCTTATCTCGTGTTCACAAGAAACAACGCTGTCTTATCTCGTGTTCACAAGAAACAACGCTGTCTTATCTCGTGTTCACAAGAAACAACGCTGTCTTATCTCGTGTTCACAAGAAAGAACGCTGTCTTATCTCGTGTTCACAAGAAAGAACGCTGTCTTATCTCGTGTTCACAAGAAAGAACGCTGCATGTCTTGAGAAAAATTAAGTTTACAGAAGACAACATCAAATTTTATGCAGATAGGATTCGTATCAGTATGTTCACAAAAAATGTGGATGTGCAGTTAGAATTGCTCTTTTGCAGGCAACAAGGTTACCAAGTTAAGTTTTTTTTCCATCCATGGAACACTGTGATGAACTATCGGATAATATTTCTTTGTTGTACCTCTGTAGTCAGTTCATTTGCCTAAAATCATTCTGCTGTATGAATTAAACAAAGAATTGAATTGATGTTAAAGCAGAGACCGACCATTAAACTTCGAGATCTTAGTCACGTATGAGCTGATATAAGAGATCAAACAGATATCAAACAGAGATCAAACAGAGATCAAACAGAGATCAAACAGATGAAGGTGCACATGCCACCTGTATCTCCTGGAAACTAGGAACGGACTATACCACATCTACAGATATAATAATACCGGGATTTCATTCATTTGTTACCTTCGATTTTCTTTTAACCTATTTGTCTTCACGCACAGTTTCCTGTGTTTATTTGCCTTGATATCAATATTATTTTATTTAGTTTAATTATACGCTGTCCAGTGTCTATGATCAGTGATTAGGACTGCGTTTACTATTCCTTTCACTTAGACTCGATTGTGAATGAATGGGAAAAGCGAGCGACCGATTTCATTCTCGGTATCATTTTCAGGCATATAAGAACGGTAATTTAAATTGGTACAATTTCTTTTGTTTAAAAAATTGAGACACTGGCGTCCTGGCGAGGGTCCAATATAATACCCACATAATATGGGATTTGGTATAATTATTTCTAATATAATAATATAAAATATTTATAATATAATTATTATGATCTTTTCTCGGCAAAGAAACCTCATTTATCGCGATGTAGTAATTTCTGGTGTCACAATCGAAAGAAAAACAGAAGCCCGTTTCTTAGGAGTTATAATAGATAACAAACTGAACTGGTCGCAACATATTTCTGCCATGAAAATGAAAATGGCCAG